GCTAGGACTTTCGGGTGGTCCGAGACTCAGAACGATGCTTCGGTTCGATATTTAATGACAGGAGCTGCACCGAAAGTGCAGCGAGGCTCGTTGGTTCTCGGGCAAACTGCGTTTGTGGCTGCTTAAAACGTTCCTCTTCTCTTTTTGCACAACAATTTCTACCTGGGTGGTTTACACCTCTTCAGCTCGTTCCTTTGGAGCAATTTGTAATGTTAGACCGTGTCTGACAGGGAAATTCTATAAACGCTCATTGATTAAAGAGTGAAAGATTGCAGTATAGTTTATCGCTATGCAACTTTATGTAATATTCTATTATCTAATACTAGCGGTAATCGTTGAATGAATGGAATCACTGCAACCACCGGTAGTCGAGGATCGGGTTACACCCGCGACGTAATTGACCGTAGCATTTTCCTGAAAGCCGTGTCGAGTCGTCGAGAGATCTTTTTATGGAGGGAAACACGCGTCTAATATTTTATAGCGGCGAGAAGACAATGCACGATAATGCACTTAACGATCGTGCTCGTTCCTGCACCCGGACGTCGTGCATATAAACGAGCTTGATCTTTGTTCGTGATCTCTGCACCGTTTCAATCGACGCAAAAGAATTTTCCATTAAAACAGTCGCTCGCCGGGTCGTAAACGTTTCATTGGCGCGAATCGGACGTCGGAATTTCAGGAACAAATACAGTGGCTCGCAGAAGCGTTCGCTCAATTGATACGCTGCGCTGACAGTAATCGAATTATACCCTGAACTTTACGATTAAGCGATCAAAAATTTTATTACAATCTTACCTCTAACTTCGAACGAAGAATGAACATGAAAAATTATGGTTGTGTGGCGATAGTCTTCCGCTTGAAATCGGAGCATCAGGTATGTGTGACGCTGTTAACGAGCGCGATAACGGTGATACGCATGCAAAATGTCATACGGTGGGTCGAGGCGTGACGAAATCAATTAATCATCGCTAATACAGCTGGAAACGAGTGCCCGACACTACTTGAACTCGCATATGGTCTAGTTTGCTCCGATCGGATTTATCGGCAGTTACCAGACGCGACGAACGATGGAACGTGTCGTTAATCCACGACTTTATCGCAAATTTTCACTCGTAGCTGGAAGAACAGAACTAACTATGACCTTTGACACGTGAACAACGTAAAAGAAAAACACTTGATTCTTCGAAATTGATTCGTCGTTCTTTTCCGTCGTCTGTTATCGTCACCGTTTTCCATCGAATTCGATTCTTCCCATCTAATCATACAGAGATACGAGTTGTAACAACGTAAAATTCTTGGAGATGGCAATATATCGGGTAGCACGTTACAACTTACCGAGCAAACTTATTCTATTCTTGCTATCTTTAAATATAATTTACCTTCATAATTAGCAAACTGCATCGACGAGTTTAGGTAGCGAAGGAAGCGAAGTGATAGAACTCCGCTAGTACAGTGTTATCTCGCTTTATATGTCGATGACTGATTTCTCTGCGTTACATCACTAGATTTCCGTAGATTTCGCGGTAGTCGGATGATAAACGGAATAAAAAATAGGTTACGTTGGTCGTATCTAAGAGGGGAAGATTCAAAGAAATCGTTTTTAGCTTCGAACCAGCTCTGACCTCTCCTTGACCTAGTTCCTTTTGAAACATTCGTGATAACGTAGTATGCATCGTTCGAATTTATTGGTTCGTTACAGTTTGTCCGGAGCGATCAAAGAACATGAAAGAACCATTCGGTTGCAAATCTCTTCGTGTATCGTAAACCGTGCACAAGGTTATGGTTGTCGATTCAAGACACGTTACTACGAGAGTTCCTTTATGTTAACCTACGGGTGTATCAACGTTATAAGAACGGTAACTGGAGAACGATAAACCCGGGAAACGATTGCGCAACGAACGATACATCACTTTTCGAGTAATTGGCCGCATTGTAAACCGCGTTGTATACCGGACAAGTTAATTCCAACCACCTTTTGTCCGCTCGCTGATAAATTATTTCATGCCTTAGCCCTAAGGGCAACCAGCTATTCGCCGTATCTGATCATCGACGGTTGCAAACAGATAAGTGAAAACGGACTATTATTTCTTTGCCTTTGTACCGTTTCTATTCAATTATCCACTTGCTTTTATAGATAGCAATGTCATAAAGTTGTCGCGAGGAGATATATTACGATCTTAATTTTGTAACGCACGCGGGAATACGATCCTTCTAAGATGTCGCAATTGACGAAACGACACAATGCTTGTCGCAGGTTATTTGTCAAGTCGACGACTGTCGCGCGACATTTGCCAATATCTAATGCGCTAAATCGAACATTATTCGTACGAGCTATAACTTATGAAAGAGGTTGATACGTGAGATGTCAACGTAACTGGCGCGAAATCGCAAGGACAAAAGTCGCTTGTTCGCGAACGAACGTAAAAAGCGTTCGACGAACAGAGAGCATCCGTAGCCTATACGTATAAAGTTGAAGGGGATCAACCAGGGGGGCGTTTTTCTCGCTACGCGACGGTGGTAAAGTTCGAAGAAAAAGCGAATCTGAATGGGATCGCGAGATGCAGCGTGAAAGTAAAGGCACGCGAAAAAGAAACGACAGACGGTTGCGAGTTTCGAGTGGTCCATCGACGAGATGCCTCTCACAGAGGCCGGATACCGTACAAAGCGAAGCGTGAAGAGACCTCGGAGAAATTCTCCCCCGGATTCGACGTGTTCGCTGCACCGTCGCGGGGATTGTTTCTATTAAGCGGCTCGACATCAAAGGATCCAGATGTTGCACGCCGCGATCAAGCAGGTCTCTGTTCTCTTTCCGCACGGGGATAGGTGGACCGCGGTGTGATGCAAATTCGCTTATTAACTTTATCTCGGCCAGAAAATCGCGACCAACCGTCAACGGGGGAGTGCGTTGCCCACCCACGATCCCGAATAAAAAGACTAAATTTATGCGGCGTTCGCTTCTTTGATCGCTACTTCTCGGGGGTTGTTTCTCGCCGCGTGGCGAATTTCTTTTCCGAGTGAAACTCATCGAAAATTGCTGTAAATCACCGGGCATGCTTTAACCAGCCGCGATAGAAATTGTAACGCGTAAATTTACGACGCATTCGTTCCTCCGATAATCGATTGTCCACCCTTTATTTCTAACGCGACTTCTCGTTCCACAGCGAATTTCTGCCGATCGAAAGTTTCTCTCTGTTAAACTCGTGGAAATTTCTTTGTTCAGGATTACGCGGAAGACGAAGACGAAGACGAAACTCCGGCTACGACCACTTCGTCGACGACGACCACCACGACCACTACGACCACGACAACTACTACAACCACGCCCAAACCCGTAGTAGCTCAGAATTACGACTACAGAGAATCGAAAGGTTACGAGGGCGGAACCGGGGCTCAGTACAACGGGTATCAATCGAAAAACGACTATCCACCGATGTCGGCTCACAGCGCACACAAGTGGCAGACTCTGGGCACTCGAGAGAGCGTCAAAGAAACCAGAAGCAACATGCAGCAGTACAACAAGAACGGGAAGAGTAAGTTTACTTTCGATTTGTATGCTTCTATGCTCATGCTATCGGCGCAGATAATCGATACGCTGCCCTGCCCGTCAATTTATGCAAATATTCATATTCATGGGTCGCCATCGAAAGCGTGCACCTGTCGGCGTTATTAATCGCCATTAAATCGACCACGGTGGTCCTGCGTCTCTCGTCGACGCTATCCTTCCTTGCCAAATTAAATCTTACGGATAAATATCGCGCAAAAAGGTAAACGAACCGATCGTTAATTGCGTGGCCTGCAAATTAACGTAATCGTTAGACTACGAGTCACGAACGCGTGATTAACAATCTCAATCTTTGTTCGACAAGTTGGATAACGAGGAAGAATATTACTATTAATTTCCTTGAAATTTATGACAACTAAACTAATCATTAAATCGTCGGTTATTGGCTATAATTATCGTTAACATGATCTCGATTAAACTGACTAGAGATTTTATCGGTAAACAAGTAACGACTGCTAACGGTAATTATCTGGTTACAATGTTTTTTAATCTTTTCCCGAAGAAGATTTCCTCGTTATTTATTCGATACTTGAAACATCGCGGTGGCGTATCCCGACGACGAAGAACCACGAAGGGACGAACGAAAAATCGATCATTTATCGGAAGCGGAATCGATTAAACTTCGAGTTCAAAGCGAAAAAAGTAGTACAGGTTAAACTCGTAATTTTCGTTGGACAAATCGGCGAGTAACTGGTCGACGATGGCAATTAATTAGTCGGATAGAGACGTGTCGTAAATCGAAGTGTCGTTAACAACTTTGAAATGTTGTTTGGGAAAACCAACAAAAGGCGTTGCACCTTGCCGGGAGTTGCGTAATCAGCGCTTACGTTTCGAGCAGTTTACGAGACAGCTCTTCCTTTTCGATCGAGGAGAGCGGAATGCTAAACGGGCTATTAATATGCAAATTAATGGCGACGATTGCGCCGTAGCCACCGCGGTTGCGGCAATTCTAACCGCCTTCTCTATGAAATCTCACTGTCCTACACGAGACACGTACATGCACGTGTGTTTTGCACGCGCGTTATTCCGCGTTAATTCATATCGAGCCGGTTCAATCGATTTATCGCGCCTTAGATACGCTTTCCATCGAAGTTCGATTTCATCCTTCGCCGATGATTCCTCCGCTTATTCTTTCCTCCAGGTGCAGATATCGGTGCAGATATCGTATTTTGTTTCGAAATAATTTTTAATCGATTCGAATAACGGTTTTATTCGATGAAAGACCGAATAAATCTAAGCAAAGACAGTTCAGAGTAGATAGAATTCGTCGGAGAAGAAATCAATCTGTCGGCGGAAAAAAATAAGCGAACGATCGGATCTAATTCCTTTCTCTTATAATACATTCCGGAATACGTTTGAATACGGGATGTTCATCGAGTCAGCATACTTCAACTTCCCTGACGGTCGTGCCTCCATTGTGAACGCGCCGATATAATCTCGTGTCAGTGCAGTCGTGGCAAGAGTAACGCCTACGTTCGAAATTAGCATAGCCAGATCGTCGGTCGAGATTAACCGAGAAAATAATTCCAACCGCGAGGGACGATTTCCCGAAACTTGTTCCTCGAATCGTTCGATTTGCGCGTGTCGCCAACTTTTCGTCCCGTCGCGAAACGATTCCGTGAATCATCTTCTTTCTGCGTTCGAGGCCCGCGTTACGATCGGATAATTCCATCGTTCGAAAGTGAATGAGAGAAGCGGAGAACACGTTTCTTCGAACGAACGAGCGGTATTCTCTTCTTAAGGGATCGAGCGCTCGTTCCTCGAAGCGCAGGATCGGAAACCTGCGATTTCAGGAAACGCATAATCCGTGTTTTATCTTCGAGTGACCATCTTGCTTTTCTTTCGCGAACGACCCCGGATGGGTATTAGGGTAATGTCTCGGAATAACGTGACACATAGTAAACCTAACGAAACAAGACAGGAACACGGCACGCTGCTTTAACAAGTTCAATACGGACTCCGAGAACGTTCCTCGACATACTGAAATATCGAATGTGACGCATCGTGCACGCATCGTCAAGATGAAGACACGTTAAAACGCGATCGTGTGTCAGCGAATAATAATTTCTAGCAATATTAACCGAGCGTAACACGAGTCTACGCGTATCGCCTAGATCGTAGCCGTTACAGGTCCAAGGCGTTCGTACAGAACGTATTAAAATGCAATCGTGCGGCGCGAGTATTCCGCTCGTATATCACCGTACAGTTAATAATTATTAGTAATATTAATCGAGTGTAACGCGGATACGCGTATCGTCAAGATCACAGCCGACGAGGTTCGCGGTGTCTGAACAGAACGTGTTAAAGCTTAATCGTCCGTCGCGAGCATTCCGCGTGTCGGTAGATAATTAATAATTATCGAGTGTAACGCGTATTCGCGCCGTATTCGTATCGTCAAGATCACACAGTCGACGCGGACCCGTGTCGCGCATTCACGGCCACTGACTACTAGGCAATTTCTCGATTTAAAACCTGAATATCTCCACAAATATCTCGGTTGTACAACTAACGATCTACGCATCGCTGGTTCATAATTAACTAAAAGTCCGAGAGAAAATCTGATTGTTCGCGAACGGTACAGGTCATCTAAGTTCCTTGTCGCATCTTTCTTTAGCGAGAGAAACGTCGTGGACCAAGAGTGGCATAATCTCTCGCGATCAATGTCGTCTCGACGCGATCTTTATTTATGCGACGATTAGGGCGTTTATATCTCAATATCGGGGCACGACGGATTCCTCGTGGCATTTCGAGAGACGGCTGACTGTGCTAGAATTTATTGATTTCCAGGTACACACAATGTGCAGTTTCTCCCGTAGTCGTCCATACAAATTGCACCGAGCGATAGCTGCGGCATAATTATCGACGCTCCGTGAAACGCGTAGAAAGCGATTAGGTATCTGACTGTGCGTTGAATCAATAGAAAGCTCGCGTTACTCGTGTCACCTACTGTTGCAGATTTGTCTCGTGGTGTCGAGTGGAGATGTCAAATGTTCGACGCGTCTTCAACATTGCGTACGAATCTATTTCGATGAATCTGATCTATTGTTTCAGCGGCTGAAATCAGGGAGGCTCTTCAACACGCGATCAAGGTGTCGCGAGAGGGTAGCTGTCAATGGCCAAGACCGAGGGTGATTCCAGTCCGCGACGTTTATCCGAGTCCGTCGACCACCTACATTCCACACTGCGCCATTTTGCACAGGTGCTCCGACGACACCGGATGCTGCAGATCGGAAGCGCTCACCTGCGTGCCGAAACACTCGCACCGCGTCGAACTCTCCTTTTACGTGAGTCCTTTTGTGCTTCGATCTTTGTCCGCGTTCCGATAGGTTGCCATACATCAACTCGGATAACGTCCGAAATAAGAATGCCAGCCGGGCAAAGCAACTTCGTTACGACGTTAAAAAACCCGAAACCTGTTCCCGATAGATTTATAAGAAATCGAATCGGCATCGATTCGAAATGATAAATTGCGAAATACGATGGTCTTATCGGGACAATTTACGAGCGAGCGTTGTGTACGCCAGAGTCATACGCGAAGCAAATTAACGTCAGAATCGAATAAAGTTTGACCATCTCCGAACGCTCCAAGCTCGTTACAAGGTAGATAAATCGTGAACACAAAGAGAGAGAGAGGTTGCATCGGATGGATGCTACGAGGAAGACTTTATCGTCGGGGAGAAAGTACCATTAATCGTGTAAACTGTATTGCTAGGAATTTATTAGCGAGAAATCATGGAGTCGCGGTATTCCGGCATGATTTATGCTACACGATATCGCCGATATCGAGACGCGAATCTCGTACGATTTGAAACTTTGTCCGTGTAGACGGCGGACACGCAATGCTTAACGAGCCTTTATCCAATTCAACGATTACGCTCGAACACGCCTATTTAATGCGAACCGGGAAGCAAAGAAAGAATGGTCGAGGCAAATTTTCTGGGTTTTCAGAGCTGTCCATTAGTGTCATGGAAAACTAGTAGTCCACGCGTACGCTGGAATGTCGATGGAATTAATTTTTCCTTGTCTCCGGATAACTTACACGACCACGGCCGGTATGATCGAGTGTCAGAATTTATCGAGTCACTCGCCGCGCACCCGAGAAACCGCAACCAGCAACGATTGTCTTTTTCTAATATCTCTGCACGTTTACGTTTCTCCTAATTAATATCTCTTTCGATTGCGGTCGATATCGGTTAGTCGAACTATCCGGCGTATTTGCAAAGATACAGCGAGAAAGTCGGTGTCGTGATCCCTGTGGCGCGAGACCGTAATTGGACAGAGGACACGCGCCTTCTGCCATGGTGGTCCATCCTGTCCCTCACGCCTATATTTACGCACGAAATCAATCCCCGAGAACATGATTACTTCTTCTACCCGTCTATTACGCTTGATTGCTGATTCGTGAGGTCCCTTCGCGAGTCCGCTCTCGCGTCGCTGCATACGCGAAACGCATTCTTTCCTAATCGAAGATCTGGAATCCGATAAAAACGCACGTATTATTAGTCTCGGCATAGCTGATCGACGAGTTTTTCAACCGATTGAATTTTTCCCGGTAACAACCTTGTTTACGTTTCGATCCTCGTAGTATATTTCACCGCTGCAGTTTGTAGCCCTATTATCTCCAAGTAATAGACGCGTATTCGTAGAATCGCTGGTTGCGTTTATCCGTAAATCGTGAATCGTAAGTCATTGAAAGGTAGAAACGACTGCGGCTGTATTTTCTCGCGAAGGAGTAAACGAGCAGCCCGGCCGATTAGTCGTTAATGGCGTTACATCGAAAGTGGCTGTCACCGGTGAACGAGGACGTCTCGAAGATTTTTGCAACGAATTACGCAAACCGTAGGAAAAACCGTGACCTGCAAAAACTGTGCGAAGGGTCGAGTCGGTGAACGGAGTCTGTTATTACACGCGGGATAGAACGAATCGCGTGCAATACGTGTCAAAAGGCAATTAATTCGGTTTTTGCGGCTGACTTTCGAGATTGTACGCTGTGTGGGTCACTAAATTGATCTCTGGAGGAAGTCATTTTTTCCATGTAATTTGACAATATTTTATGGAAACGCGATCGAAATTTATTTCATCGACTTTCTTAATTGTTTAACGAGACAATACTACGAGACGTAATCGCTTTGACCGTTATTCCGTCAGTAGGAGTAGCAGGTACTTAGAGCTTCAAACGGAATTTATGGTAACGAATGAATTTATCGAGTCGTACACGAGTCTTCCCGACGCGGAACACCATAGAAAACCGTAAGAAAGAAATATCAGGAGCACGTTTGATCCATTGATTCCGAACTGGCTCAATTAAGAGATATCCTCGCGAGACCTTTCCGTTTCGACGAATCAGAGTTCGCGAGCTGACTAGCCGCAACGAGATAGCCATAAATTTTCAACGACCAACGTTCCGTTCGAATCGAGTCATTAAACTTCTCGAGTGATCTTAATGAATCAATTAATCCTGATGGATCTATCGCATTCCTACTGGATAGAATCCACGCAGTGGGATTGGATTGAACTACATTCCTAGACGTAACGAAGCGTCTCATCGATCGAACTGTTCCCTTTGCCCATTTTCTTCTCTCCTCCCGTCGAACATCTACAAATCGCTTCCTCGAACTTCCAATGATCGTTGAATCGTACTGGCCATCGCGGTATCCTTTGTTGCGACGAGGATAACTTTGACCCGTGAAAAATGCCGTCCAAGTACGGCCACGATATTTGGGAACATAAAAATCACCGCGATATAAATCGCAATAAACCGGACGCGTAATCGCCGATGCCGAGGTGCATTGCACCAAACGGGTGTAATTTGCATTTAGCCGCAATTACCAGTTTCGGCTTTACCACGCTACATTAGCATAAGTTCTTGTCCAGTGTTGTGGGAATCTTTTAGCGCACCGCGAAATCGTGTTGTCGGATGTTTACGAATTACCGGTCTTAAACGATCCTCTTTTTTCGAAAGATGAAGCACGACGAACGGTTTCGATCTCCCGGGAGTATACGTGTGCAAACACGGTATATTCTAATTGTCGCGAGCTACGATAAACGAAGTTCGTTTCTGCGAACGTCATCGGTTTTAAAAAGGATGATACATTGTCGCCTTCTAAATCGATTTCGATTCGAACGTGTACCTTATCGTTCGTAATAAATGGTCCGCTATACGGGAGAAAGTTCGGAGTTACCTCTTTAAGCGACACTAGTCAGAATTTGTTCGTTTCGAGATTGGCAGCGTTATCTGTCTCTCGTTAGAGTACAAGAACGAGACACAAAGAGGTCGACCGATACGAGTATTGTGACGGCTTTTACGAAATACTCGAGAAATGATAGGCTCGACAAGTTACCGGTAAGAGAGGCAGAAATCATGTCGGTTCGAGAGACAATACCGCGAAGTCGTGTTTGTCGTGCTCGAGTTTCGCGCTGTTGGCCCAACTCGCGTATTTCTGTCCGCGTCGAGGCGGGCCTCGCGAAGCCTTAATGTTTCGACGTGATAAACGAGCGAAGCGAGCATTTCGTAAGTTGCCGGCGACGTAATCTTCCAGTATGTCTCTCGCGAAACACGTGTCAGACGACACTTTCAGCGATGTTTGATCGCCGGGCATAAAGCACACATTTTCTTCGAGACGACCGTCCGTGACTCGAATAGAGGAGCACCCACCGCGCGAACAATCGACCGTTTATCGGATGCGTGAGGATCCAGGCTCTCCTCTTCGATCCGTGATAGAGGCGATCGCGTGCCCGCTGGTACGCGAGAGACATTTCGTAAAACGCGAAAACGTTTAATTGCGCGTTGAACCAACCGATACGTTACTTTCTAAAGCGTACTTTATCTTGGCAAAGGATCGCTCGATATATCGTTCGATCGTGTACACCCACGCGAAGCACATGGCCAATCAACGGCGAACACCGATTGTGATAAATGTTCGGGTCCGTTGGGGGTCACTATGGAGAGAAAGCTATAAATTTCATGGGAGACGTTGAGCTTTTTTATATTGCACCGTGCAACGCGAGTAGTACTGTCTCCGCTCGTGACCCTGCTTACACGAATCCTATTAAGCCATTATACCGTGTCTCTAGCGAGAATTCTACTCTCTTCGAACGGATCTATTACCGATTATTCGAACCGATCTTATCTAAGCCCAATCGCAATTACGAATTAATTGGAAGAAGAACTTACAAAGTATTTTTATCGGAAGGCACAGAAATACTGCAAATTTCGCTTTCTATCGAGGAAGTTAACGATGCAATAAACGGTTGTCACGTATTAAGGATGTCGTTAATAATAGGAGACTTGTTATTTTTAGAAAAATATCTAACGCGGATCGATGACCGCTCGCGACTGAACGAAGGACCCTTCCGATCGTGATCAAAAAGCACCGAAGAGCACAAAGAGTGGCTTCTCGAACGAAAAAAGGAGCCCTTTCTTCGCTAACGACTCTCGAAAGCGAGTTCCCGTCGAGACGACGCGCTCCAGTTACCCTCTATAATTATCTCGAGCAACCCTTTGGATACTACCTGTCGAGGAGGATGAACTCACCCCATTTGTGCGTCGGTACGATCACCGGATGACGTTTCTCCTATGTTTTGCATCGCTTTTCCGACCGCAAATGAGTCAGTCTCCGAGTCGAGCTCGGAGCCGAACTTGGAAGCGGATCAAATTCGTCTTCTGTACGCGGATATACAAGTTCGTTTGTCGCGCGAGCAAATCCAACGCGAAACACGAACTTAGGGTATATTAATACCAGGGGCTTCCGCGATACAGAAATACATACGGGAAAACGCGAAAACGTTTAATTGCGCGTTGAACCAACCGATACGTTACTTTCTAAAGCGTACTTTATCTTGGCAAAGGATCGCTCGATATATCGTTCGATCGTGTACACCCACGCGAAGCACATGGCCAATCAACGGCGAACACCGATTGTGATAAATGTTCGGGTCCGTTGGGGGTCACTATGGAGAGAAAGCTATAAATTTCATGGGAGACGTTGAGCTTTTTTATATTGCACCGTGCAACGCGAGTAGTACTGTCTCCGCTCGTGACCCTGCTTACACGAATCCTATTAAGCCATTATACCGTGTCTCTAGCGAGAATTCTACTCTCTTCGAACGGATCTATTACCGATTATTCGAACCGATCTTATCTAAGCCCAATCGCAATTACGAATTAATTGGAAGAAGAACTTACAAAGTATTTTTATCGGAAGGCACAGAAATACTGCAAATTTCGCTTTCTATCGAGGAAGTTAACGATGCAATAAACGGTTGTCACGTATTAAGGATGTCG